AAATGAAAAGATTCCCCATATTTTCCTATATTTTCGGGTTTTCCGTCTCTCCCCCCACTTCCCATATTTTCCCATACGTTTTCGGGGACATCGACGATTCATTGTGTCTGTGTGTTTCTTTCCCTCCCGCTCCTCGGAGTCCCCGCCCCGAGACCGCGGCCCCGCGGCCTTTGACTGTACTCGCAAAGTAGCTGCTAATGGCCCGGATCCGCCGCCGGGGAGTTACGATCCATTGAACCAAGGGCAACAAACGTGACTTTTCACAGCACGTCTGGTGGTGCTGGGTCCTTGTTCAGAAGCAGCGCCACGCGTTCCTCTCCTCTCCTCCCCCCTACAATTACACAATCTGAATACTACTATCCTCTCTCCCCTGATGGCGTCAGGAAGATGTCTGGCCCCCGTCTTGATTTTTGCACACAAGATGCCCTGCTTGTTGTTGTTTCAAATTGTTGCTCCCGTTGAAGCGGTCGCCCCATTTCTGCGCCTCTGGTTGTTCCAAATCGTGCTCCCGCTGCAGCGCGGGCGTTTCGGTCCTTCCAAATCGGCCCCAACATCTAGAACATGCCATCCATAAAAAAAACATCGGAAGTGATTCCACATTCGGTGTCGATTCGTTGTTTTTTTCGGCCGCTGAAGCCCCCCCCTCCTTTGGGGCGTCGTCGTTTTCGGGAAATATCAGGCGGAGCCCCGTTTCTGCTTTGCGAAGGCGATGTTGAAAGCAAAGCCAGCGGATGCTCTCCATCAGCCCCGCCTTATGTGGATCTTTTTTTCGGGGAGCCCAAAGAGCTCGACATGGAACAACGACCCCAGACCGGCCCAGGCCTCTCGAAGACAATCCGCTTACCCTCCAACGAACCCGGCGACATGCATGACATGCTGTGCGGTGTTGTGTTCTGCGCCGCTGTTTGATGCCATGCTTTGCGTTGCAATGCTTTGTGATGCAATGCTTCACCGCGCAATGCCACGCCATGTTATGACATGCTACGCTCTGCCGTGCTCTTCTACGCCATGCCATGCCGTGCTTTACCATGCATCGCGTACCCTCGCGCGATCATTGCCCTGCTCGACACCCGACTGTGCGAATAGAAAGGATATCTACGCCATGGTAAGGGATGGGGGCTGGGACGTCAGATTTGACGCGAGCGCACCTTGCTTGCCTCCTCCCCCTCCTCCCTCCTCACATCCCTTGCACCCCTCACACGTTTCGTGGCCCCCGAAGGCCCAAGTGGCAAGGTTCGCGTGCCGTTCCACTCACATGTCGGCACCATCCTCACACGTTTCGTGCCCCCCCCGATCAAAAAGTCCGGACCGCAGAGGTCGCGGAGTTTCAGCGAAGAGCGTGTCCCGTTAGGCGGCAAGGCCCCGGTACAATGTTGCAGACGCCGCCATGGCGGATTTCCGATCCATGGCTCATCCCCTTTCATACTGTAATCGCCAAGTGGGGCGACGATGTGAAATTCGCCTTCCGCCCAATATTTGTTTCAAACAAAAATGTCCGACCGCGTTCGAGAGGACCTGACATTTCCAGAGGCGATCGGGAATCTACGATTTCGCTTCAGACTTCCTCGCAACAAAAAATCCGGCCCGAGTTATGTTGCTTCTAAGTGTCGTCGTTGTCTGGAAGATGCTACAGCGCGTGTCTACTTGTCTGGGAGCGCGCGACTCTAGATCGGCAGTTCCGTTTCTGGCGATTGCTGCCCTGCGGTGCCGTGCCGCTGTTTGGCGCGCGGCCTTGTCCTGGGCTCGTCGGGGATGGACAGATCCCCCTTTAGTAAAACGTGGTTTAGTGAAAACGGCCTGAGGCCCAAACCTGGCGGGCGCAAGCCTGGAAAATAACGGCCACGGCGCACTCTCGAGAACCAAAAACGGACAATTCACTAATCGACGTGTCACTGTTAGGGGTTCTGTCCACCCCCGAGCTCGTCTCGGAGGCCGTGTCTGACATCGGGGGCCCAAGGCCCGTCGAGGGTCGATGCGACGATGCAGGCGGCCTTTCATGGCCGATCCGGACTTTTTAATCGAGGAGGTTGTAGGGAGCTCCGCCGAAGGCCCCACTGGCAGGGTTCCGCATGCGGTTCCACCACCAACGTCGGCATATCACTTTCAGTCCAGGAGGTCGTTACACAAGTCGGCCGATTGAAGCAAGCGCGCGCAGGACATCGGTGGCCAATTCGGTTCGAACCATGGCGGATTCAGGAGCTTCGCGCGCGCAGGCCTGTCGGAAGCTGGCAAAGGCATGTCTGGGAGTGCCCCTTGGAGAGCTGCCCGAGGACAATGCCTCGAAGGAAAAGTTCCGAGAGCTCGCTCGCCGCGCGGAGGCCTCCGTCACCGACCAAGCGCTTAGAGCGCAGGCGGCCGCTGTCCAGGCCCACGAGGAGACGTGGCCAGAAGGGCCAGAGGAGGGCGACGCCGAGGGCGACGACGATGTGGGCGTCGGGGGCTTCCGGCTGCGCGGCACGAGCTTCCTTTTGACCTGCAGCTGGGACTTCTTCGGCAAGGACTTCCCTGGCGGCGCGGCTGCAGCGACCAGTTCGGAGGACTCGTGGCGATCGCGGAAACAGTTCAAGGCGCAGGAGAAGAAAGACGCGCCAGTGCAGAAGAGTACCAGAACACTCGAAGCTTCCCTCAACATTCACACCCCTGGGAGGAGTTCACTTCCACTGGGAGGTGGATTGCGCTGAGGCCTTCGACGCGCCCAGCGCAGACTGCTCTGCTCTCCGCGGCACCGAGCCAGGCGCCCGCCGACCCTGCGCCGCGCCTGGTTCAAGAGCGGCCAGAGGTGCCAACTTTGCCGAGGCCAGCAACCGAAAGCACTTTTACTGCTGGGCACCTAAGAAAGGCACTTCTACACGGGGACTAACTTGAAGCCGCGGGGCGACTGCAGAGTCACGGGGAAGTGGCTAGACGACCTCTGGACCGACGGCAAGCTGGAGCATTCGACATGCGGAGCTCTGGCCTTGAAGGGAAGGGTCGGCTACTCAGCGCGCAAGCGGGACTTGGACTTGGTCACGGCTGCCGAGAAGGGGGCAGAGGTAGACGAGCAGATGCTCAGGGTGGACGCGACCCTTGCGAAACTGAGGGCGCCTTTCCCCGCGTTCCCCGCCGTAGATGTCTGGCAGGACACATGTCTGGAGCTTCGTTTCCGCTGGCCATTGTTGGTTCTCGTCGCAGACGGCGCGTCCGGCAAGTCCAGCTTCGCGGAGAGGTTGTTCGACCGGCCGTGCGTCCTCGCACTCGAAGATGCCGCGCGCCTAGATCTGCAGGACTTCGACAGGGGCGTGCGCGACGCCATCGTGCTGGACAATGTGACTGCGTGGAAGCAGCTACTGAGCTGGCGCGCAGTCTTGCAGGCAAGGCACGCCAAAAGCATGGGTGGGCAGAGCGCTACCAATGTCTACTCCTACGCTCAGTGCATTTCCGGGGTTCCCGTCGCAGCGACTGTAGACTTAGACGCCCCCGACGCTGAACTAGCAGACCCTTCCCGCGAGGGCAGGTCCAAGGGGCTACAGAAGAACTGCGTCTTTGTGCGCCTGGCTGCTGGCTCTGTCTTCTGCGGCAACTCAGAACTTCTCCAGAAACTCGTCAAGAACGGCTTCTATCTTTGCGCTGAAACCGTCAAGCGCCGACGTTCAGCGCAACCTGCCTCAGCGGCGCCGCTCCCTTCGCCGCCCGAACTGCGCATGCAAGGGCCCACCGTGTTTCGGGGCGCCCCAGCCCGCCCAGAACTTGCACGCGCGCGCGCGTGTATAAGCCCTTCTGGGCCCGTCCGCAGCGAAATGCGGAGTCGTGGAACGCATGCGACACTCCTTTCGTTTTGCAATTTTCGGCATCAAAGAGAGCGCCCAGAAAAGGTCGGGGCCGCGTGGGTTCAGTCAAGAGAGGTGCCATGGCACCTTGGAAGCACGTGTTGTTGGCTAGACAACGCGTTGGTGTTGAATTCGTAATGCGTACGCATTTCTTTTGCACTGCCATGTCATTGCGTTGGCATCTCGTGGGCGTGTACTTGGCATGGTGTTCGCATTGCGATCGCGTTCATTGGGGTCGCGTTGGTATTGCTTTGGCATTGAGTTGAAATGCGTGGCGGTTGTGCTGACGTTGCGCTGGCATGGCACTGGCAAAGCACTGGCATCGCATGGACATTGCGTTGGCGCGTTGACATTGCACGGGCATTGGGCGCACTCGCACCATCGGTTGGCGAGTTCGCCCGCCGCGTGCCCTCGAGGTCCGTGGCAGTTTTGGCGCAAGGCTCCTGTCTCTTGCCACTTCTGGCTTCCGCTGGTCGCCTTCAACTCAGACTGCAGGCTACCAGTTGTCCCCATCCGAAGCAGGCCAGGCGAAGGCCCACTTGGGGCATGGCTTGGGTCGCGCGAGCATCGCCAAACTTGCGCAGAGGGTCGATGGCAGAACCTGCTTCGAAGAGTCGGCCGTCAGCAACTGCATGCGGACATCGAAAGAGAATCCTGGTCGGCGCGGTGAGAGGGGGCCAGGGCCGGGGGCCCCGCGGAAAACGCCGGACAAGCAAGACCAGGAAATCATGACGTGGGCTGGGTGCTGGGCAACCGCGCCAGCATCAAAGTCTCCGCGAGCCGCCTCAAGAAGCAGTGTCCATTCCTGCGGAAAGTCTCTGACACGCTGGTTGAAGAACGTCTCGCCGAGGCCACTTTGGCCTGGCTGCGGCGGCGCAACAAGTCCACCGCTGCTGGGCAGTACCGCGCCGCTCGCGTGGCATATTGTCAGGGCGTGAAGCGCAAGCACCAGGCCACGCTGGAGAGATGGGCGCACGTGGACGGCACAACGTACTACTTGGACAAGAATTCGGGTGAGCACGAGCACACGGTTCGCAGGTCGTTGGGTTCCCGCGTGTGGAATATGTCTGACAACAGCGGCGTTCTGTACGAAGATTGCGTCGGCCCTTCTAGCTACATCAAACCTCAGGGCCTGCCAATGTAGGTATGGGGGATGCTGGCGGCTGGCGTGCTGCGCGTGCATGTTTTAGACGAGGGCGAGGTGATGGATCGATCTATGCATGTGGATCTGATTGAAGACGAATTTGACGATTGGAAACTGAACTGCGACTTCCTCGTTTGCGATTACGAGCGGTGTTTGCGCACGCCAGAGGCTGTTCACGCCTTGAGCCATTGCGGCCTGAAGCTTGTCGATGACTGCCCGAAAGTGTCCCAAGTTTTCAGCGCCATCGAGAATGCGCGGAAAATCTTACGTGAGCGGTTGGACAGGACGTGCCCAGTCGAGCTGGAGCCGAGGGGCGCGTTCGTCAGGCGGTTGCGGGCCGCCGTGCGATGGGCCAACACGAACAGGTCGGAACAGCTGTGGTACATTTCAACCAACCAGAAGGAAAGGACGGCGGACTGCCTGAACTCCAATCCGCACGGGGCGCGCACTAAATGGTGAGTGCGCCCAGTTCTGTAAGGACAGCTTTGTTTTGCTCCCTGGACTTCGAGCCATCGCACAATCAAAAACGCTGTCGCGGTGGTCCCCGCCCGATTAAAAAATCCGGACCGCAGCGGTCGCGGAGTTTCAGCGAGGAGCGTGTCCCGTTTGGCGGCGGGGCCCCGGTACAATGTTGCAGACGCCGCCATGGCGGACTTCCGACCCATGCCTCATCCCCTTTGATATTACACTGGCCAAATGGGGCGACGATCGGAAATTCGCATTCCGCCCAATAATTGCTTCAGAAAAATACGACCGCGTTCCAGAGGACCTGAAACTTTGAAATGCGATCGGATATCTGCGATTTCGCTCAAGACTTCCTCACACAAAAAATCCGGCCCGAGTTATGTTGCTTGGAAGTGTCGTCGTTGTCTGGAAGATTCTACATCGCGTGCTTACTTATCTGGGAGCGCGCGATTCTAAACAGAGCATTATGTTTCTGGTGATCGCTGCACTGCGGTGTCGTGCCGCTGTTTGGCGCGCGGCCTTGTCTTGGGCTCGTCTCGGAGGCCGTGCCCGACATCGGGGACCCAAGACCCATCGAGGGTCGATGAGACGATGCAAGCGGCGTTTCATGGCCGATCCGGACTTTTTAATCGAGGAGGTTGTAGGGAGCTCCGCCGAAGGCCCCACTGGCAGGGTTCCGCATGCGGTTCCACCCCCAACGTCGGCAGATCACTCACACGGTTCGTGGCCCCATAGGGAGCTCCACCGAAGGCCCCAGTGGCAGGGTTCGCATGCGGTTCCACCCCTAACGTCGGCACACCCCTCACACGTTTCGTGGCCCCACAGGGAGCTCCGCCGAAGGCCCCCGTGGCAGGGTTTGCATGCTGTTCCACCCCCATGTCTGCACACCCCTCACACGCTTCGTGGTCCCATAGGGAGCTCCACCGACGGCCCTAATGGCTGCGCTCGCATGCGCCCACCGCACGAACTTTTGCGCACCCCTCACACGTTTCGTGGCCCCATAGGTAGGTTCCCCGACTGCCCCAGTGGCTGCGCCCGCATGCGCCCACAGCACCCATTTTGGCACACCCCTCACACGATTCATGGCCCTGAAAAAGCTCAACCGACGGTCCCAGTGGCTGAGTTCGCATGCGCCCACCGCATCCACTGTGGCACACCCCTCGCGCGTTTCGTTGCCCAATAGGGAGCTCCTCCGAGTCCAGTACATACAACCACGGTGCTCACAACTGCAAATGGTTGGGTCCTTCGCCAGGCTGATGTTTCTGATCCCTCTAGCCCCCCCCACGTACAAATAATAGAAAAGACGCGTCGCTTTGAATGAATCTTGCCCCCGCGCTCAGTCTCCAAGCGACCGCACTGCCCGCCGAACCATCCTGGAGTTCCCGCAACGCATGCCAAGAACGGTGCAAACGAAATTGCCCTAACAGACCCCAGGGGAAGAGAGCCCGAACAAGTCTCCAGAAAGGCAGGATACGGCCCAATTAGCAGCTATACCAAGTTAAAAGAGTTCCTCGAAGTCGAGGGTGCCACAGGGATCACAGACTACCCCAGGCCCTTGAAACGAAACCAGAGCGCCCAAAACAATCTCCAATTTGGACGTCCAGAACGGGTACGGAACAAATGGGTACAATGCTCGACATCAAATGTTGTCCAAAACCGACAGCGGCTGCTGTGGACAGGCGGCCATTTTGTTTTCAGCGTACAACAGCCGAAGCGGCGCGGACAGCAAGTCCTGGCAAAATGAACAGGAACTGCTGTTAGACATCGTACCCACTCTTTCCGTACCCATTTTGATCGTCCCCATCCAAGCTGTCCCAAAAGAATGTCCCGATCCAGCGTGTCCCAATAATCATTGCAACGCACTTTCGCCCTCTCCGCATGTCTATCCCCTGCCTGCTTCTTTTCGCGCTCACGTTCTACAAAATACGGTCGCTCTCGTTCGATTGTGGAAGCGAGATACTTGGAGCTGGCGACGAACCCGGATCAATGCAATGGTTCGACATTCTTCACTCCTCCTCCTCTTCCTCTTCTTGAAGCAACTTCTCCTCCTCCTCCTCCTCTGCGTCGCACCTGCTTCTCATCGTCTCCTTTACCTGTCCTGGCGCGCCGTAGCAACCCAGGACATTGTCACGACTCTCTCTCTCTCATTTTGGGTGGGTCGGCGGAATGGCGTGTACCTCTGGAACCCGCCCGCCCACTCGGCTGAGGAGCGCTTTGGGTGGCTGCCTCCAAGCCCTTCCCAAGCAGGTTCCGCCACTCCGTCGGCCCAACTTCACCGACAAGCTGGAACCTTCAATCCTTCCACGCAGAGATGCCAGTAGGTGCATCAAATTTGAAGAGCGTTCCGTACTTATTGGGTCTGAGAGTGACTGAGTCTGAAAACGAGTGCCTGAATACGAATGAGTGTCTGTGTGAACGCCTGGATGTAAATGATCTTGGATGGGATTTAGCCTGAGTATGTGGAGAAACGATAAGCGGGTCTGGGTATGATTTGGCTTGAATGTGAATGGAATGAGATATTCGTATGATCGAACATTTGTGAGGGGAATCTCTCACTTTGGGCGCCCGGGAGATGCCCAATCTGGAGAAAGAACGGTTTTTGGCCGCCCGCGGGGCCGCCGTGGACTTCGTTTGGGACGCAGAAGGGCATACTGGCATTATTTGCCCTCCTCGGACGCGTGCGTCCGACCCGATCGTGCAGTATTGCGATATTGCCGTATATCGTTTCCAGAATGGTGCGGTCAGAACGCACCCACCACGGAGCTTACACTCTCAGAATTCTCGGTTCGCGCGTAGCCCCTGGGGGGGCGACGCACGTGCAATGTTAGTGCGTCGGTGTGACGCCGATTCGTTCGGCATCTACCGAACACCACAGCTCCTCATGATCCCAAAATGGTCCGTCTTACAGCGTCCTGACTGTGCAGTTAGGTCGGGCATGTCCTCCAACAGTAGGGTTTTTGAAGCCAAATAAAACGTAGCCTAAACATCGTTAAACTTAGTCAAATGAATACGAGCAATCGTCGCCTGACTATTTTCCTATTCTTGAGTATTCTCCTGTAGAGGGACATGCCCGACGTCCGTCCTACAGCGGCATGACTGCACAGACTCACAAGAAGGATGCAACGTAAGGAGCAAGACCCTCGGACGCCCCATTTACCATTTAGAACTCATCCTCCTCCTCCGCCTCCTCATCCGCTTCCTCCTCCCCCTCCTCCTCCCCCTCCTCCTCCTCCTCCTCCCCTTTTTCCTCCTCCCCCTCCTCCTCCTCCTCCACCTCCTCCTCCTCTTCCCTCTCCTCCTCCTCCTCCTCCTCCTCCTCCTCCTCCTCAACGGATGGGCAACAGAAGCAGGGATGCAAGGGTAGCCTTGGTGAAGCAGCGCATCCTGAATACGGAGTTCGACTGAGGAACGTGATGGCGGCGAGCGCGCAGCGCCTTGAGAAGCAGCAGCCAAGCTCAACACAAACACCCGACCACCGCCGCATCGGGATCCGTGGCCTCCACGGGCTGGCCCGTTGCCTCCGCGAGCCGCAGGGCTATGACCGAGGTGCTCTCGCCGCACGCGTCGGACAGCCTGGCGCGCTTCCGCCTGCCTCGCCCGCCTGCCCACCCCAGAGATCCGAGGCTCCGACGCAAGCGGAGCGGCCGCCCTCCGGCTCTGTTCGGCCTCCGGGGGCCCTCGACGGGCCCAGGGACCGTCGAACAACGACTCGGGACGAGAAGCTGGCTCTGGGGAAGCTGTCCAGACCTCCGGGGTTCCACGCACCGACGCAGATCCCACCAGCCCTTTGGGCGTAGGTGGCTTCACGGTCTTTGGCTTTTCTCGCTCTCTCTCTCTCTCTCTCTCTCTCTCTTTCTCTTTCTGCAAAAACCCCTTCTTCCCTGCTGTAGGGAGGGGAATACCCCTCCCCCTGCCCTCTCTTCTGGTCCCAAGACTGCGCGAAAGGCCTCCAAGATGGCCCCGGAACGGCCCAAGAGGCCCCAAAGACGGCCCCAAGAGGGCCCCAAGACGGCCCAAAAGAGGCGCCCAAAAGAGGCCACAAGACTGCCCAAAAGGCCTCCAAGACGCCCAAGATGGCCTCCAAGACGGCCTAAGAGCACCCCAAGAGGGTCCCAAGTCGGTCCAGAGAGGCCCCCAAGATGGCTTCCGACAAGGGCCAGGAACGCCCTATGACGGCCAATGCGGCCTCCGAGAAGTCCCCAACGGCCCCCCAAGAGGCCCAGGGAGGCCCCCAAGATGCCTCCAAGAGGCTCCCAGGAAGCTCCCAGGAGGCCCCACGAGTGCCCCCAGAGGCTCCCAAGATGCACCCTCCTCCTCATCCTCCTCCTCCTCCTCCTCCTGATCTTCCCCGCCATTCTCCCCCAAGTGTTCCCCGAAGAGTTTCTACAACGGCTGGGGAACACATGGTCCGATGGCTTGGCAGAGCTCTTGCCACAACGCTCGGCCACATGGGCGACTCCAAAAGACAGGGGGCGGCGGTACACGGTTTCCCCTGGGGCCGTAGGCGACCCGAGGAAGAGGAGGAGGAGAAGGAGGAGAAGGAGGAGGGAGGAGTAGAAGGAGGCGGCGGCGGAGGAGGAGGCGAAGGAGGAGGAGATGGAGAAGGAGGAGGAGGAGGAGGAGGAGGAGGAGGAGGAGGGGGAGGAGGAGGAGGAGGAGGAGGAGGAGGAGGAGGAGGAGGAGGAGGAGGGGTCGCCTAAGACCTTCGGGAAAACCCTCCAGGCGGCGGTGATTCGCCGTAGGCGTCTTCGATAAGGATGCAGCGCTTATCCTTGTCAACACAGGGATCTCGCTTGGTTGGCAGGCCCATGTGGCGGTTGCCTGTCGAGGGGGCGCTGCTCGTAGTGAGAAGGCATGGGTACAGATAGATTTGGGACGCATGTGTTACGGGTGTATTGCAGCATCGTTGAGATATCCTGGGTGTATTTTTGGTCCATCCTCCCTCCTCTTCCTCCGCCTCATCCTCCCTCCCTCCCTCTCCCTCCTCCTTCTGC